ACCGGTGAGTTTGGAGCCCTTTGGGGGTAAGAGCGGCAGATGGTGAAATACCAGCGGATTTCTTCCACCTCCGTTAAGTGAAGCCGTCCTGATCTCTGCCTGCCTTGTGTCCACTTTCCTTGCTGCGCTTGCTGGATTTTCCACCCGAAAAATTGTCTTTCCTGAAGCCTTTAGCGTCAGAGGCTACAAGTTGTTCTCTGCATGCCTCTGATGCAAAGCGCGAGGGCTGGGCGGTTTGTTTTCGAGCAAGGTTGGCCGCTGTTGATCAAGGCTGGCCTCAATTAGCAAAATCCAGAGGTGTTCCCCGGCTGCAAGCGCTAATCTCTGCAGGGACGAGACCTGGAGCAACCAGCCTGCCCGCCCACCACGCTTCCACGCATCAAAGCAGGAGCCGGAGCTGCTGCCCTGAGCGAGGGACCTGGCGACCCGGTTGCCATGGGTTGATGAGCTGCTCCGTCTCGCTCCGAGCAAGCGTTGCAGCCGCTCCGCAAAGCTCCGGGTGCCTTGCGCCATCCGGGCTTGGGCTCAGCGGTGGCTGCTGGGCAAACGGGAGCGTTTGTCGGCGTCTTCCTGACACATTTCTGCGTTCTGCACCCAGGGGAGCTGAGGCTGCCCCAGCTGGTGCTGCAGAAATTGGGAGGGGGGGCTGGAGACCGTGCCGCCTCCCGGGGCACAGAGCTCTGGGTGAAGAGGCAGGATGGGTGTCAGTGGGAAAGCAAATAAAGTGGGGGATGTCACAGTAAAAGCTGAATGTTTCCCAGATTTTGCATCATCAGATGGAGGATTGCATTTGCTTGCGGGATGCCCCGAAGGTCCCCTGAATTTTGGGGGGAGGGGATTTAAAATAAACCCATCACTAACTCCAGCCCAGCCCGGGATGCGGAGGGGCTCGTGGGCACAGTGGCACAGGACAGGAGCAGCCCCTCCTTCCCAGCGAGGCTTGTTTCTTCCCTGCTGGAAAATCACCCATTTGCTGGGAATTGAAGAGAAACTCTGATTTACGGCCAGCTTGCCGGAGCGAGCGGCCACCCCGGTTCCCAGGCTCCCGGTGACTCCCGCGCCGTGACGCTTGCGGGGGAGGTCTCGTCCCCAGGGACGTGGCCCTGGAGCGGGGGGGCCGGGAGGCTGGTG